ACGATTTAGGGTTTAGGGTTGGGTTTAGGGTTTAGGGTTTAGGGTTTAGACAACTTTGCAGAGTTTACGATTTAGGGTTTAGGGTTGGGTTTAGGGTTTAGGGTTTGGGGTTTAGACAACTTTGCAGAGCCCCATGTTTAAAGGAAACTACAGCTGGGGAGTTTAGGGTTTTATACGGCTTCTATAAGGCTTCCGTAAGGCATATAGACCTTCTATAAGGCTCCTATAACGGTAACTACCCACCTGAAAATGTCCTAGACATGTTTTATCCTGCAGCTTGCCGGCCCCGGAACCCTAAGTACGGCCTAGGGCCTGGTTGCTTCAGGCATCTAGGGCGCAGGGTCCCTAAACCCCGAACCCCAAAATCAAAACCTGAACCCTAAATCCTAAATCCAAACCCTAAACCCTCAACCCTAAACCTTAACCTTGACAGAAAAAGCCTAAAGCCCTAAACCCTAACAGCCGGAAGTCCTGAAGTTCGTAACACTCAAAATCCACCGAATCCTCTGAAACCCTCGGGCGCAGGAAGTTTAGACCCCCGAGCCCCGATCCCCCCGATTCACTCAAATTCGGAGCTTCCCTAAACCCGAAATCCGAAACTCCGATGCCCTAAACCCTAAACCCTAAACCTTAAACCCTTAAAGCCGAAACCCGAAACCCTAAACCCTGAATCTCCGATGCCCAAACACTCCAAACCCTGCACCCAGGCTCTCTCCATGCCCCGCAAAGCCAGTAAAACCCCACAATAAAGACCCTCATGTAGAAGCCTTAACAATTAGAATAGGGTTTTTGGGGTGTATTATTCGGTACCCGCCCCTAAAATAGTATGGGTATTATCTAGGGCGGCCCCTATGTACATTCATTCCCTAACCTTCCCGATGTCCCAAGGCTCATGGCTACCGTCACGGCATCCACAAACCAGCGCCAGCTTGCTCTCTCCGCTTCGGGCACCATGTCCTCAATGTTCGTCTCCCCGAGGATCCTTGGTCTCACGGTCGTTTTAGTAGTTTAGGGTTTTTTTATATAGTTTAGGGGCTTCGGGGGTTAGTTTTTTTTTTTTTTTGCGGGGG